ACTCTCCCCCGTGCTTTTTTGAATCGTCCCGATTCAAACTAAATCAGGGTACAAGATACGCAAATTTGCGAGTAATGAATTTCTTTGAATTTCAGGTACATAACGGAAAAACATTTCCTTTCTTAATGAACTTGAATGGCCTGGGTGGCAGTCCAGCCAATAGACATCAAATTTTTGAGTCAGTTTGTTATAACCTGCAATTCCAATTATTTCTTTGTTTTGAGCTCTTTGTATAGCTTCATATTCTGTTATGGGCGGTTTTTTGGTGTAATTTTGAGATCTTTCATCGAACTTTCTAAACCATTTTGAATTAATAATTCGGTGCTTTTTTGAAGTAATAGGAATATCCACTTCAAAAGCGTTTTCTCCTGATTGGCCTACAATTCGATAGGGGCCAAAATATACAGGTTGTAATTTAAAGTATTGTGTATGGGTTAAATATGCATCTCTGTGAAGCAATATGAAGTCTCCTATTTCATATTTGATGGCTTCTCTTTTCTTGTTTGCATATTTCTCTTGTTCAGCTTGAGCTTCCATTATTAGATCTTGTGTTCTTGTATAAATTGCTTTCAATTTTATAGCTAATTCATGTGCTTTGGATGAATACAGTTGATCAATCATTTCTTCGGCATTTGGTATTTGTGGTGATCTACCTAAATCTGCCATGAAGGGTGTTGTTTGTATGGAAGTTTGGTGACTGCTATTGTACGCAAATTCTAAAGCTGATATATAATCTTGCCAAGCGGCATGCTCGTTTGCAGCATAACTTCTTAGTAGTCTGTTAACTATTGCATTGACTCTTTCCGTTTGACCATCTGTTTCTGGATGGTTTGTTGTTGAGAATTTAAGTTCAGTTCCAAAACTAGATTGTATAGTTTTCCAAAATAATGACAAGAAAGTAAGATCTTTATCTGATACTATTTCTTGTGGTAATCCATGTAGTCGTATTACATTATCGATAAATAATTTTGCAGCTTGCTCTCCTGTAATACCTTTTATTGTTGGAATAAAATGAGCTACTTTTGTGAATCTGTCAACTATTACCATAATAGTATCACATCCTTGTACTGTAGGTGGTAATCCAGTTATGAAATCCATACTGATGGATGTCCATCTGTCTTGAGGTATCGGTAAAGGTTGTAGAAGATTTTGTGTTCTCTGCGTTAAACTCTTGCTTTGTTGGCATATAAGACACGATTTTACGAATTGATTTACATCTTTAAACATTTTCGGCCAGTAAAATGCATCAGCAAGTGCATAATACGTTTTATAAGTTCCAAAATGACCTTCTTCTGGTGGATTGTGATATTTCTGAATTAATGTATTTCTGACTTCACTTTTTGGGACACATAGTCGATCGAGTGTTTGGTCCATTCCCACATTAACTGAATAGAACAATTGATTTCCTTGTAACAGAAAATGACGAATATGGTTGTTAATTTCTTTTGGTGGTTGCTTGTTATTCTTTAGGCAATCATAAATAACACCAAAATTCTTATCTATCTCATAATCTTCTGAGAAGTCATAATCCTGTGGAATAGCTGTAAAACGAAGTTCGACGTTATTAATTCCGATTCTAGATAATGCATCAGCGGCATTATTCTTGGTTCCTGAGAGATGTTGGATTTCGAAATCATATTCAGATAGGAAGTCTAGCCATCTTGCTATTCTATTCTGAGGTACTTTTCCTTGTGACATTATATATGTTAAACTTAAATGATCTGATCTGAGAACGAATCTCCTTCCATATAGGATAGATCTAAAATGTTTTAAACTTTCGATTATCGCTAGAAATTCCTTTTCCATAACGAAATAGTTTAATTGTGCTCCTATAAGTTTTTCGAAAAATAACCAATTACTCCTACTAGTTTATTATTTTCATCAACTTGTTCTAGTGTTGCTCCTATTGCTGTATCGGACGCATCTGTTGTCAATCTAAACTCCTTATTAAAATCTGGTAATACTAAAATTGGAGATGTAGTTAACTTTTCCTTCAATATTCTAAAAGCTTCATCTTGTGTTTCC